CCCCTCGCGGAACAAGACGGTTTTCCTCTATCATATGACGATGCAACTGCTGGAAGACTCGACGATTAGAATGCTCACGATTGGGATAAGTTTCTGCATAAATTTCGGCTGCTAGAGGCCCACATCCACTACATAATCCATAAATAAAATGCATGTCGCGGTATTCTTCAGCAGTAAACACAATTTTCAAAGATTAACATTAAGATTTTTAAGATAACTGTCTCGTCTCTAACTATCACTAACAACGTAACTTGAACTATCACTATAATTGCACTAAAAATTGTCTTAGAAAACTTTAAATTACACTATTCTTATAATACTTGAAAACTTAAAGAGAGTATTGTAATAAAGACTTAAATTAACTTTATTAAAAAAAGACTTGGCTAGGTCGATTTAAAGGTTTAATTAGAAGTCCGAAATGAATTCGTGAATTGTTGGAAGTAGACTAAAGTTTACGATTTTTCGAAACACTGACTTGCTCCTGACCAACGAGGGTGGGAAGGGATTACCGAACTCTCATTCGTTGTAAAAGTTGTAAAGTCGTAAAGTTGTAATTCCTCAAATGCAATTCGTCAAGGAAAGGACTAAGGAAAAGTACGTGCATAAAAAAGCACTTAGGAAAGATGCGCTCTCGGTACGCCGTGAGTGTCACACATGTGTTGAACACCGGGGTTGTTCGGGAAGCAGCAAAGGGGCAAAAGGGTATAAAACATTTGGAAAATTTCAGACTGGCGAATGTGAAGAAAAAAAAGGGACTATTGTCCAAAATTTCTTCCATACATGATTGTTCTAAAATGCGTGGGATTTGCAAGTTTTCTCACCAGTATTCTAATTTACAATTTTATTTACGCCTAGCCAAAAGTCTGTCTTCGCTTTTCGCCTTTGGTAGTAACTATTGAGATTTCAGAGGTGGAAAATTTTCCAGAAATCTACGTTTGTTTTCCAAATGACTTTATAAATAGAAAATGTGGCCAAGCAATAATAGCTTACGATTAATTGGAAATAAAACGGGAATTGAGCCGCCAAATTGGAAACGATCGTTAAATTCCATCTGTTGAACAGGCGAATTTTACTGTCAATTTTCGCTTTTGCATGTTTTATTTTGGGCATTCAATTTTTCCGAATTTTTACATTTGCGTCACTTCCGGCCGTCTTACTCTTAACGACTACATGGCTTTTGGACTAGGACTTCAGCAGTTGCACGCGAGAAGATAGGGTTAAGCAACTACTCATCCTAAATTGGAAAAAATAATGTTCCTTCATTTCACAAAATTGTTTGATTTATAATTCTAACCCCTCAGGCTATCTTTCGAACCTCGGAAATTTTTTGAAATTTGTTTGGAAATTCTAGCTGGATAGGTACTAGTAGCACCACCTCTCCCCTGCATCCATGATATGAGAAAATAGAAAATACCGATCATCCTTTGTTCAAACATATTGTTTTAGCACATATAGGAATTCCTCAGGGTGATTTTTGAAGCTGCAGAATTTTTGAAATTTGTTAAAAAATTCTAGCTGCATGTGTAACCGTATCACTCCCCTCCACGCGACCATGACATCAGAAAATAGAGTTTACTAATTATTCTTTGTTTAAAAGAATTGTTTCATCGTTAGTTAGACCCTCTGAGGCTCATTTTCGAATCGCCAGATTTTTAAATTGTTTTTTTGAAAATTGTAGCTACATGCGTAATCATATCACACGTCCATAACAGCAGACAACAGGTGACATTAATTATTCTTTGTTTACAAGAATTGTTTTAGCACTAATTGGGACCCTTCGAGGTGCTCTTCAACTCTGCTAAATTTTTATAAATTTGTTTGAAAATTCAAGCTGTATGCGTAGCAATATCACCCTCCTCCCCCGCGATCATGGCACCAGAAAATAGGCGATACTACATAATCTGATACTGTACAAAAGAATGTATTCTAAAGGCTGAAGACCCTCGGGCAATGGTCATTTGTAAGAATGAATGTTTCTTGCAATAAATAACGTTAAAAGTTAAAGTCAGGCGATACTAATTACTCTTTCCGTTTAAAAGAATTGTTTCTTCCCTAATTGGACCACCCAGGGTAATTTTCGAATCTCCAGATTATTCTTACATTTGTTTGAAAATTCGAAATGCATGTTTACTGGTATCACCCCCCCCCCCCTCTCCCTTCCCCGCAACCCGACATCAGAAAGCAGGCGCTACTACTTCGTCTTTGTTTTCTCGAATTGTTTTATCATTAATAGGAACACCTTAATGTGATTTTTGAATCTCCTTTTTTTAAAAGTTGTTTGAAAATTCTACCTGCATGCGTATTGCTATTAACCCCTTTCCCCGCGACCCCGAACACCATAAAACAGGCGATACTAACTATTGTTTGCTTGAAAGAATTGTTCCATCAGCAATTGGAAACCCTCAGGATGATTTTCGAATCTCTTGATTTTTTGAAAATTTGTTTGAAAATTCTACCTGCATACGTACTGCTATCCACCCCCTTTCCGGCGGCCATGATACCAGAAAATAGGGAATACTATCTATTCTTTGTTTAAAAGAATTGTTTTAGCACTAATTGAAACCTTCGAAGTGATTTTCAAATTGCTGAATTTTTTAAAATTTGTTTGAAAATTCTAGCTGCATGCGTACCCTTATCACCCCCACCCCCCGCATCCATGCCATTAGAAAATAGGGGATACTAATTACTCTTTCTGTTTAAACGAATTGTTTCATCGCTACTTGGACCGCTTAGGGTGATTTTCGAATCGTCAGATTTTTCTTAAATTTGTTTGAAAATTCTAGTGGTATACGTACTAGTATCACCCCCCCCCCCTTCACTCCCGTGCCTTCGAAACCAGAGAACAGGTGATACTACTTATTCTTTGTTTAGACGAATTATTTTATCATTAATTGCAACATCTCATGGTGATTTTTGAATCTCCTGATTTTTTTTAATTCTTTGGAAATTCTCCCCGTATGTGTACTGCTACCAACCCCCACCCCCTTGCGTACGTGTCACCAGAAAATAATAGATCCGAATTACTCTTTGCTTAAAATTATTGTTTATTACTAATTTAAACCCCTCGGAATAATTCTCGGACCTGTGCAATTTTTTAAAATTTGTTTAAAAATTCTAGCTGCATGCGATTCATACACCTCTCTTCCCCGCATCCATGACACCACAAAAGGCGATACCAATTATCCTTTGTTTAAAAGAATTGTTTTATCACCAGTTGGAACCTCTTAGGAGGATTTTCCAATTTTCTGATTTTTCAAAATTTGTTTGAAAATTCTAGCTGTATGCATATCATTCCCCTGCCCCGTGTCCTTAGTACCCAAAAAATAGGGGATATTAATTTTTCTTTCTTTGAAAGAATTGTTTTGTTGCTAATTCGAACCCTTCAGTGTGACCATCGAACGTCCTCAATTTTTTAAAATTTGTTTGAAAAGTCGAACTGCATGCATAGTTGTACCGCCCAGCTTCCCGCGTACTCGGCACGAAAGAATGGGCGTATATCATTTCATTTTCATTTTGACAAAATTGCATCGTCACAAATTTTTTCCCCGGGTACATTTCAAACCGCGGTGGTGATTATTGCATTTATTCTGTCCAACAATTGAAATAAGAAAAAAATAATTTCTGGTCTCTGTCTCCCAATTTCCAAAGTAAAGAGAGAAAAGACGACCTTTCTCTCTTTCGTTCGTCTTTCGGTGGGGAAATTGAGTGGCGCGTAGAGGAGAGCGGTACCAATACATTCGTATCGCCAACACGGACGTACCTTCTGCTAACGGACGCCTCTCATTGGTCCATTTTTAACTACCTTTATCTCGGTAGGGATGCGTCTGATTGAAAAGTGCCACAGGACTTTTCGCCTAGGAATCACCCTCCGAATATACCCTTACAATGGTGACCTTCAGTTTAGGGACACCCTGTATAATCGAATATTTATGCAATAAATGTGACATATATTCTTACATATAAATGACTTATTTTTTACAAATATTGCAGAGTATATTTTCGCATATATATGACATATATACTGCATGCAGGATTTTTGGCCGAAATATATGTGATATGATTAAAATATATGCCATACATATATTCGCATATATTTTTTTTTCCATGCGGGTTCCCTGCTTATTTTGTGTAGAAATCCGAATTTGTTTATTGGATTTCACCAAAATCGTGCATTCAAAAGTCATTAATAATTCCATGGAGTTTTGAGGCTTTCGCGGCCAATATTATTATTCATTATGGTGGCTTCCGGATGGATGCCGCGTCTAGATTCAGCTTTTTGCCGACGTTTCGCAAACATTTCAGTCTGCATCATCAGGGCTAGGTTGCTCCGATACTTCTGTATCTCAGTATCGGAGCAACCTAGCCCTGATGATGCACACTGAAATGTTTACGAAACGTCGGCAAAAAGCCGAATCTAGACGCGGCATCCATCCGGAAGCCATCATAATGAATAATAATTCCAATGTTCAAGTGCATATAACTCCGAAACTATAAGCTTTCCAAAAACAAGTTTAAACACGTAACACTCGTTTTGTCGAGACGCCTCCATCCCTATATGACTCATGATAATATCGTTGTTAAGAAATGGAGGAGAAACGGCTGTTTATCCGAGAAGTGTCGTGCGCCGGAACGCCTCAAGGGCGCAGACACCTCCCGGATGAACAAAAGCTGTATCTCAATAGTTATTTAATATCTTATGATGAGTCAATGTGTCGTCTTGACGAGACGAGTATTTTGTATGCGAACTTTTTCGTCATGCAATTCACATTTTTGTAGTTACCTTTTTACGACAGGATCCACATTTAAACAACTACATCATGTCAAAATTTAAAAAAAATATGAAAAAAGCCAAAATCGACCGATGCATCTCTCAGTGAATACCTTTCGACCCTTAGCGTACAGACTATAATATGAAACATTAACTATTTGGAATCATTGGAACTAAAATTTAAATATGATTGATTAAAATACAGTACAGTATTAAATATTTATTTTGTTAGGCCCTTCCCAGCCAGACGAGGATGACTACGGTTACGTGTCCCAAGAAGCCTCCGCCTTTTATAACAAACTAATGTCCAAGTACAACAATCTACCTCCAGAGAAGCCTCTCTTCAGCGAAAGTGGAAAGAGAACAGTGAAAGATATAGCTTCTACAAAAGACCGTGTGAAACAAGCTTTGAGACAGCACGAGCTCGAAGAGAATTTGCCTCACCGGCGGAAAAGAAAATTCACAAGTGCCCCAGACAAAAATGAACCACAGGAGAAGGAATCTACCTCTAATAGAAATCGCAATCGCGACCGATTAGACAGAACCTCTGAAAAAGACGAAAAACCAAAACCGAAGAAGCGAACTCCTATACCTCCTCCTATCGATTTCATGTCTCTCCTAAAATTAGCCGAGAAGAAGCAGTACGAACCCTTACCAATTGAACTGAAACCGAAGCTGAGAGTTGAAGAACCTGAGCGTCTAATGACTAAACGACAAATGAAGGAATATCAGAAAGAGAAGGAATGGAAGGAGAAACGAGAGAGGGAGAAGAACGGGGAAATTCCAAAACCGTCGACTACCTCAACAGATAATTCTAGTGAAAAATCCATAGATAAATTGAAACCAGCGCCAAACAGAATTTCAAAATTGACTGATGCTAAAACTCCCTCTATGATCTTGGAGAAAACTCCCACGAAACCGATAACTCCAGTGCCAAAACGAATTCTGGATCGACCCATTGAAAAATCTTCATCGTTACTCTCCAAATTATCGGAGAAGGATGTAATTCTGGAGGAAAGGAGGAAATTGGAGGCTGAGAGACGTGAGGTGGAAATGATGAGGAAAAAGCTTGAGGAGGAAAAGAGACTTATGACTGTGAGCAAAGGAAAATCGAGCGAGGAGAGTAGAAATAAATTGCTGAAGGTCAATGGAAAAGCGGAAAGAGGAACGGGAGGTGCAAAGGATGTTAGATCTAGGCAATTTCCTCCTAATGATATTAGACCTAGACAGTTTCCTCCTAGTGATATCAGACCTAGGCAGTTTCCTTATAGTGAAGATAGTCCGAGGCAGTGCCCGCCTGATGAGGTGAGGGGGAGATCCAATAGGCCGTTCAAAAACGGAAGACCATTGAACAAACGACGCATTTATGATGATGACGATGAGGATGAATATGATTCGGAGTTGGATGATTTTATTGATGATGGGCCGGAAGGAGGGGCTGAGGATTATAGTAAATATATCAGTGAGATATTTGGGTATGATAAGAACAGATACAGCGCTTATGATGAGGATGATGATAATATGGAGAGCAATTACGCGCAACAGTTGAAGGAGGAGTTCGTCTCAACTAAAATTGGTAAGATTTTGGATTTAATTTTGGGGTCTAGAGATTTTTGTTGCATTATCGTTTTAACCTGTGATCCAGTTTTAAAAAATCTAGTGTTACGATTTTTAAAGCCTCTGTTCCGCCTATTAGTCCAAAAATAATAGATAAAATTGCCGGGAGAACCTTAAGCTTCATAAAAGTGGAATAAAAAGATAAAGCACCTCCTAAACGGATTTTCCGTAATAATTATGAAACGGAAAATGATATAGAAAAATGTTTCAAACAAAAAGTGGAGAGTATCAAATGCTACATAAAGAAGATTTAAAGTGTTTTACGTTTACAGCGTAGCTGGGTCATTACCAGGGGTGGTTATAATTCAAGAAAATGAATGAACAATTCGAAAAAATTCATCTGGTGGAAATTTTTAATTCCTTTCATTTTTAGCTCTCCTCCTCTCATAAACACGATAATCTTGTACTCAAATTTTTGCTCCCGCATGGAAGCTTCGTATTCGTCGGATTTCGACATTTTCTAATTTTGCTCAGGAATTATGTAGATTGTTATGGAATGCGAAGAAATATTTTTTTTGAAATATCCCTGTATAGGAAATTTGTCTATAAAAATCTGAAATTTTGACGAATCATAGATATGATTGAGCTCAACTTTTTTTTATTGTGAGCTCAACGTTGGTACTGAGTTTCATTCCGGTCGGTTCAATAGCTCCTGAGATGTAACAGCTTGTTTAAATTTCATTTTGTATCAATATCCCAAGACCTAATAAAGCGATTTTGGCTTTTCTTTTTACAAAATATTGGCTTCGATGGTATCTATTGCGATCAATCCATATACATAGCCGTTCATACACAATTCCTGAGATATTGTAGTTTTTCCGTTTGTTCGAAAAAAAATTGGTGTAAAAAATCAGAGATAGCAAATTGAAATTTGCTGCGATTCTAGCTATTATAATATTGAAGATTGGTGTTTTCAATGTGTTGCGTATCAACATTTTTTGTTTTTAAATTTATTTTGGAAGCAACCGTAGATTTCTGAAAAATTTTAAAAACTCAAATTCTATTTCTAGCTGGAAAACGAAAGCTGTCTTTTGGCTAGGCGTGAAGAAAGTTGTAAATTACATTGAAATACCCGTGAGAAAACTCTCAAATCCTCCGCATTTCAGAAAAATCACGTACCGGCGTTACGTCATACAATCTAACAAATCACTAATTCTTTTCGTGGGTTAAATCAAACCTTTCAATCGACAGTTCGATAGATCACGTGACTCAACGCATTCATATTCACTTATAAACATTACAACATTGAAATTCGTATTACTATTCTCCCATATTTCAGTAAACATTATCGGGGAGAAGAAACAATAGAAAACTTACTTTTGACACGGATTGGTTTTGCATTCAATCCATAAAATTTCATTCATTAATGAACAATAGTAATACTTACTGTGTTTTATATTCTGAAAACGGTAACCAATCAACAAATGCCAAATGCGTAATCCTGACGATACCATAACTGAGGATGATACAATGCGGATAGGCAAGTTCAACAGGAAAATATCAACCTGGAAGAACGTAAAGATAGTTACAATAACAAAAAACGCCAATTATTCGAAGCCAACAGGATCGTAGGTGCTCCAGCAGTTGAGGCACGCATGACATTCATTTCAGTGACTTTGATAAACTTATACACTAGTTCGATACACTCAATCCTGAGGAGAATTATCACTAATTACAAGATGACGCTGAAGTTAGCAGCCGACTTGGCAGCAGAACAGGGGCGTATCATGATCCCCTGGGGCCCAGTGCACACATGAATCAAAAACCGGGGTAATAATCAATTATCGACATCAGAAAATGTTCAGACACTACCCCTCTGCAGTCATGAAGATTCTTACCCCTCTGGAACCATTACTTGTTGATGTTTGAGGGGTGCAAAAATTGATTTTCCTTGAAGTGAAAGAAAAAAACGTCGTTGGCTCCAAAACACTCAAAACCACCAACAAATTTCCATTGAAAGCTATTAAGAAAGACTCCCTCAACCCCCAGAAAAATCATCAAGTCTCTCAGACTGGTCCAAGGGGGTGCTAGGGGGTAGAAAAATGAAATTTTCGCGTTTTTCAGAGGAAAAACAATTTTTCGACTCATAATAACCAAAACCATCAACAACTGTTGATGGGAAAATACTCAGTGCAACTCCCCTTACCCCTAGAAAAATCATCAAGTCTCTCAGACTGGTCCAAGGGGGTGCTAGGGAGTGGAAAAATGAAATTTTCGCGTTTTTCGGGAGGAAAAAAAATCTCCGACTAATAAAATGCAAAACCACCAATAAATGTTGATGAAAAAATACTGAGTGCAACTTCCTCAACTCCCAGAAAAATCAGCAAGTTTCTCAGGCTGGTCCAAGGGGGTGCTAGGGGGTAGAAAAATGAAATTTTCGCGTTTTTCGGGGGGAAAAAAATTCTCCGACTCATAATAAGCAAAACGACCAACAAATGTTAATGAAAAAATACTCAGTGGAACTTCCCCTACCCCCAGAAAAATCATCAGGTCGTTCAGAGTGGTCCAAGGGGGTGCTCGGGGGTGGAAAAATGAAATTTTCGCCTATTTCAGGGGGAAAAAAAATCTCCAAGTAATAATAAGCAAAACCACCAACAAACGTTGATGAGAAAATATTCAGCGCAACTCCATCAACCTCCAAAAAAATCATCAAGTCTCTCAGGCTGGTCCAAGGGGGTGCTAGGGGGTAGAAAAATGAAATTTTCGCGTTTTTCGGGGGGGAAAAAAAAATCTCCGACTAATAATATGCAAAACCACCAACAAATGTTAATGAAAAAATACTCAGCGCAACTCATTCAACCGCCAGGAAAATCATCAAGTCTCTCAGATTGGTCCAAGGGGGGCTAGGGGGTGGAGAAATGAAATCTTCGCGTTTTTCAGAGGGAAAAAAATTCTCCGACTCATAATAAAAAAAACCACCAACAAATGTTAATGGAAAAATACTCAGTGCAACTCCCCCTACCTCCATAAAAATCTTCAAGTCTTTCAGAGTGTACTAAGAGGGTGTTAGGGGGTGAAAAAATGAAATTTTCGCGTTTTTCGGGGGAAAAAAAAATCTCCGAATAATAATACGCAAAACCACCAATAAATGTTGATGAAAAAATACTCAGCGCAACTCCCTCAACCCTCAGAAAAATCATCAGGTCTCTCAGACTGGTCCAAGGGGGTGCTAGGGTGCGGAAAAATGAAATTTTCGCATTTTTCAGGGGAATAAAAAAATTTCCAACTAATAATTAGCAAAACCACCAACAAACGTTGATGAGAAAATATTCAGCGCAACTCCGTCAACCCCCAAAAAAATCATCAAGTCTCTCAGGCTGGTCCAAGGGGGTGCTAGGGGGTAGAAAAATGAAATTTTCGCGTTTTTCAGGGGGGAAAAAAAATCTCCGACTCATAATAAGCAAAACCACCAACAACTGTTGATGGGAAAATACTCAGTGCAACTCCCCCTACCCTCAGAAAAATCATCAAGTCTCTCAGACTGGTCCAAGGGGGTGCTAGGGGGTGGAAAAATGAAATTTTCGCGTTTTTCGGGAGGAAAAAAAATCTCCGACTAATAAAATGCAAAACCACCAATAAATGTTGATGAAAAAATACTTAGCGCAACTTCCTCAACCCCCAGAAAAATCAAATCTCTCGGACTGGTCCAAGGTGGTGCTAAAGGGTGTGAAAATGGAATTTTCGCGTAGTTCAAGGGGAAAAAAAAAATCTCCAACTAATAATAAGCAAAACCACCAACAAATGTTAATGAAAAAATACTCAGTGCAACTCCCCCTACCCCCAGAAAAATTATTAGGTCGTTCAGAGTGGTCCAAGGGGGTGCTCGGGTGTGGAAAAATGAAATTTTTGCCTATTTCAGGGGGAAAAAAATTCTCCAACTAATAATAAGCAAAACCACCAACAAACGTTGATGAGAAAATATTCAGCGCAACTCCATCAACCTCCAAAAAAATCATCAAGTCTCTCAGGCTGGTCCAAGGGGGTGCTAGGGGGTAGAAAAATGAAATTTTCGCGTTTTTCGGGGGGAAAAAAATTCTCCGACTCATAATAAGCAAAACCACCAACAAATGTTGATGAAAAAATACTCAGCGCAACTCCCTCACCCCCCAGAAAAATCATCAAGTTTCTCAGGCTGGTCCAAGGGGGTGCTAGGGGGTAGAAAAATGAAATTTTCACGTTTTTCGGGGGGAAAAAAATTCTCCGACTCATAATAAGCAAAACCACCAACAAATGTTGATGAAAAAATACTCAGCGCAACTCCCTCACCCCCCAGAAAAATCATCAAGTTTCTCAGGCTGGTCCAAGGGGGTGCTAGGGGGTAGAAAAATGAAATTTTCGCGTTTTTCGGGGGGGATAAAAATCTCCGACTAATACTATGCAAAACCACCAACAAATGTTAATGAAAAAATACTCAGCGCAACTCCCTCAACCCCCAGAAAAATCATCAAGTTTCTCAGGCTGGTCCAAGGGGGTGCTAGGGGGTAGAAAAATGAAATTTTCGCGTTTTTCGGGGGGGATAAAAATCTCCGACTAATACTATGCAAAACCACCAACAAATGTTAATGAAAAAATACTCAGCGCAACTCCCTCAACCCCCAGAAAAATCATCAAGTTTCTCAGGCTGGTCCAAGGGGGTGCTAGGGGGTAGAAAAATGAAATTTTCGCGTTTTTCGGGGGGGATAAAAATCTCCGACTAATACTATGCAAAACCACCAACAAATGTTAATGAAAAAATACTCAGCGCAACTCCCTCAACCCCCAGAAAAATCATCAAGTTTCTCAGGCTGGTCCAAGGGGGTGCTAGGGGGTAGAAAAATGAAATTTTCGCGTTTTTCGGGGGGGATAAAAATCTCCGACTAATACTATGCAAAACCACCAACAAATGTTAATGAAAAAATACTCAGCGCAACTCCCTCAACCCCCAGAAAAATCATCAAGTTTCTCAGGCTGGTCCAAGGGGGTGCTAGGGGGTAGAAAAATGAAATTTTCGCGTTTTTCGGGGGGGATAAAAATCTCCGACTAATACTATGCAAAACCACCAACAAATGTTAATGAAAAAATACTCAGCGCAACTCCCTCAACCCCCAGAA